CTGCCGGCGGCCATCTTGGTGATGGACGCCGGCAGAGAGAGGAGGAGACAGCCACCCGGCGGGATGAGGTATGCCGCCGGGTCCCCTCCTCTCTCCTGATACTGTCGGGCGTTCGGTCCATGACCCAGCGCCCGACTTTTCAGGGGGGGAAGGGGGGTGACACCAAAATGACTGTGAGTCATTTTGGTGCCACCCCTCCAATGGTGTCACCCGGGTGCGGGCCGCACCCCCCGCGTGACGCCACTGCCTCTATGTGATAGCAAAGAGGACGTGACAGGTCCTCTTTATGGAGACATCAGGGGTCCCCAATCGGCACCTCATACAAGCGATCCGTCGGCTCTATAGGCGACGGACCGCTTGTATGTGAACATCGCTGCCTGTTTTTAAATCAGTTTCCTGCTCGGGCGCGCCGTTGCGGCATGCACGAGTGGGCGGGGCTTTAGACGGCCTGTTACGTCCAGGAAGCTCGGCTCGGGAGGCGGCCGAAGCTCACATAAACTTCCAGCTTGAGTCAGTTAAATACAACGCAGGTGCGTCCAAACAAAAGGTGCGCAGAGCATAATTGTCATTTAGAATCTGTGCGGTGTAAAGAAAAGTCAGGTGACCACTCACCAAGACCGGGATTTCCTGACGCGCGCAGCGGCCGGGCGCTCCAGGAGGCTGTCCAGGCGAGTCAGCCTCTCGAGGTGCAGAGCTCGGGGGTCCTGCTCAGCCCGATCCTTAGAGAAGTCCAATTCAGTCCGTCGGCTCTATGGGCGAGGGACCGCTTGTATGTGAACATCGCTGCCTGTTTTTAAATCAGTTTCCTGCTCGGGCGCGCCGTTGCGGCATGCACGAGTGGGCGGGGCTTTAGACGGCCTGTTACGTCCAGGAAGCTCGGCTCGGGAGGCGGCCGAAGCTCACATAAACTTCCAGCTTGAGTCAGTTAAATACAACGCAGGTGCGTCCAAACAAAAGGTGCGCAGAGCATAATTGTCATTTAGAATCTGTGCGGTGTAAAGAAAAGTCAGGTGACCACTCACCAAGACCGGGATTTCCTGACGCGCGCAGCGGCCGGGCGCTCCAGGAGGCTGTCCAGGCGAGTCAGCCTCTCGAGGTGCAGAGCTCGGGGGTCCTGCTCAGCCCGATCCTTAGAGAAGTCCAATTCAAACACAGCCGGGGGTGACAGGTCCAGCTCCAGGAACATGATATTCTCCGCCTTGGGACAGAACAGGGAACAATGGTTACGTTTTAAACTGGTGGTGACCCGAAATCTATGCGTTGCGATGTTGTGCAGCATTACCCCTGTGCGTGTGGTTATCTTAAAGCCTACCCTCGTAGCGAGACCTCCCCCGCGCTGCACGGAGTAAGTGCTCGTTTGTCTAGGGGACCGGTGCCAAGCATGATTACTTACCTGATCCCCGCTCCCCTGGTGGTGGTCAGCGCTCTCCTCCTCCGCTCCAGCTGGATGAATGTCTATGTGGAACCTGCACTGGAGCACTTAGGCTGCTGGAGTGAAGGGAGAAGAGGCTGCGGGGTCCGGTGGGAGCGGGGATCGGGTAAGAAAAAGAGCTTTTTCCTTGTCCCCTAAACATACGCACTTCCTCTAGGAAAATCAAAAAACTACCCTTGAACCAGGGGCGTAACTAGAAATCACAGGGCCCCATAGCAACATTTTGTATGGGGATTTCTAGTTATACCCCCTGCAGAG